TGAGCCTGGGGGCGCGGAGGCGTCTGGTGAGCAGTCTCCCGGGAGCGGCCGTCTCTTGAGTCGCTCCGCCGGTGCCTCGTCGTTGCACTCTCGTCGTCGACTCCCTCTCTCCTCACAGGAGCTGTTTGAGTGGTACGCTGGCCTTCAGGGTCGCTCTGCTGGAGCTAGGGGCCCTGCTGCGGGAGGCGCTGGAGCTGGTGCCTCTACTACTGGAGTTGTTTCTACTGGAGGTTCCGGAGCTGCTGAGGGTGCTGGCGCTGGAGGTTCGGGTGCTGCTGAGGGTGCTGCTGCTGGAGGTTCTGGAGCTGCTGAGGGTGCTGGCGCTGGAGGTTCGTGCGCTGCTGAGGGTGCTAGCGCTGGAGGTTCTGGAGGTGCTGAGGGTGCTGCTGCTGGAGGTTCTGGAGCTGCTGCGGGTACTGGTGCTGTGGGTTCTGAGTCTGCTGTTGTGCGGTCTCCTTGGAGTAGCCGCCTTCGTCCGCGTGTGCCTCTCACCCCGCAGCAGCTGCACGACTGGTACGGTCGCCGTCAGCGTCGCGCCTCTGGAGCTCGAGGCTCTGCCGCTGGAGGTACTTCTGCTGCTGTCCCTGGAGCTGGGAGTGGTGCTGGTCCCGGAGGTGCTCGTACTGGAGGTACTGGAGCTGCTGGGGCTGGAGGTGCTGCTGAGCCGGAGGCTACTACTGCTGTTGACCCTGGAGCTGGGGGTGCTGCTGCTGGAGACACTGAGGCTGGACACTCTGGGACTGGAGGTGTTGGTTCTAGGGGTGCTGCTGCTGGTGGAGCTGGTCCTGGAGGACCTGGAGCTGAGGGTTCTGGCACTGCTGGAGGTACTGGAGCTGCTGCTGCTGGTGACGCTGCACAGCCGCGCCTGTTCTTTGCTCCACCGTCCCCGTCGTCTCAGCCGCCGTCCGACTCTGTACTTCGCCAGGTTCTTACTCTCCCTTCGTCTACTGGTCTTCCTTTACAGCCTGACTCACCGCTACCTGCTCCTTCTCCTTACACTAAGTAGTCAGGACGTCTTACTGAGCGTCGTGCGCCTGCGTCGCGTCCTGTTTCGCCTGTCCAGTCTAGTCGTTCTAGTCGTACTGTCCCTCGTTCGCGTCAGCCGGCTGTCCCCGCCACCCGCCTTGTCGTCTGTCGTCCTTCCTCTCCTATGCGGCGTGTTCCTCTGCCTTCCCCTCCTGCGTCTTCTCTGCCTACCGTCCCTGAGCCTGAGTCTGACCGCACCCGTGCTGCTCACTCTACTGTCACGCGTCTGCTAGCCACTGTTGTCACTGACCCGTCGTTTGAGTCTGCTGCTGCGTCTCCCTTGGTCGCTGAGCTGGTCGACTTTGCTGCTGCCTGTCGTCTCGACTATGCCGCTAGTCTTGTTGCTGAGTCTGAGTCTGTCTGTCCTCCGTCCGTCGGGGGTGAGAGTGCTCTTAGCACGGACGTCCTTGAGGACAGGCAGGAGGATCTTGAGTGTCTTGCTGCCGCTGCGCCTCATCGTGTCCATGCTGCTTGCCCCTGAGGGAGACCCGGATGCTCCAGACATCCCGACTCCACGATCGTACGCTGAGGCGATCGAGGTTCCCTACTCCTCTCAGTGGCAGACAGCCATGGACGCAGAGATGGCATCCTGGAAGTCCACTGGCACTTACGTCGACGAGGTTCCCCCTCCTGGGGCGAACATCGTCAGTGGCATGTGGATTTTCAGGGTAAAGCGGCAGCCAGGTTCTCCGACTGTCTTCAAGGCTCGTTACGTTGCTCGAGGCTTCAGTCAGCGAGAGGGAGTAGACTTCTTTCGGACCTTCTCCCCCACCTCGAAGATGACCACTCTTCAGGTGCTGCTGCACGTTGCCGCTCAGCGTGACTACGAGCTTCACTCTCTTGACTTCAGCACAGCTTTCTTGCACGGTAGCCTGCACGAGGAGATCTGGCTGCGCCGCCCACCTGGCTTCACTGGGTCGTTCCCTCCTGGTACCCAGTGGAGCCTCCGGCGGCCGGTCTACGGTCTCCGCCAGGCGCCACGTGAGTGGCACGACACACTGAGGACTACGCTTGCGGCTCTTGGGTTCCCGCCTTCTACTGCTGACCCGTCGCTGTTTCTGCGCCCTGACACTTCACTGCCGCCGTTCTACATCCTCGTGTACGTCGACGACTTGGTCTTTGCCACTGCTGACACTGAGGCTCTTGCCCACGTGAAGTGGGAGCTGCAAAAGAGACACACGTGCACAGACCTGGGTGAGCTGCGCAGTTACCTTGGCTTGCAGATCACCCGGGACAGAGCACGCCGCACCATCACCCTGACTCAGTCACACATGGTGCAGCAGGTCCTTCAGCGCTTCGGCTTCACCTGATACTCGGCACAGGCCACTCCTCTGGCTACAGGTCACTCGCTCTCAGCTCCACCTTCGGACGAGTCCGTAGAGCCGAGTGGTCCTTACCCAGAGCTAGTTGGCTGCCTCATGTACCTGATGACCTGCACTCGTCCGGACCTCGCGTACCCTCTTGGCCTTCTGGCTCGCTACATGGCTCCTGGTCAGCACCGAAAGGTGCACATGGATGCTGCGAAGAGGGTACTGCGTTACTTGTGCAGTACATCAGGCATGGGGCTTGTGCTTGGAGGGCGGAGTGAGGTGGTCCTCACTGGTCACTCGGACGCTTCTTGGGTTGACGACCAGGCTACTCAGCGGTCGTCACAGGGTTACACCTTCAGCCTTGGCTCTGGTTCAGGTTCCTGGCGTTCTACACGCTCGTCTTCTGTTCTCGGCTCCAGTTGTGAGGCTGAGATCTACGCCACAGCCATGGTTGCACAGGAGTTACGCTAGCTCACCTACCTGCTGACCGACCTGGGAGAGCGGCCTCGTTCTCCTCCAGTGCTGTACGTCGACAACAAGGCCGCCATTGCCTTGTGTCAGGAGCATAGACTGGAGCACAGAACGAAGCACATCGCTCTGCGTTACTTCCTGGCTCGAGAGTTGCAGCAGCGTGGTCAACTTCGTCTTGCCTACGTGGCCACTCGAGCCAACACTGCTGATATATTCACCAAGGCACTTCCGCCTGGTGATCATCAGCGCTTTTGTACCTTGTTGGGCCTTGTGCCCACGTTTCCTCACTTGCTGTAGACTCTGCTTCTCTTGTGATCTATATATATATACCTGCTTGTTTGTTCTGCTAGGTAGAGATCACTGTACTGCTGTTGTTGCATATTTATCTCTGCATGCGAACTGGCCTTGTGGCCCTTTGCTTGTGCTCAGAGTGTGTGGTGACGTTGTGATCCACCCTGAGCTTGCTTTGCCTCTCTTGACTGGTCTTGTGACCCCTTGCTCTCCCCCACTTTGCCGATGGGGGTGTGTCAAACTATTATAATGCTTGTGCTGTGTAGGCTGTAGTGGGGTAGCCAATAAGGGGTAAAACGGAAATTAGGGTTAGCATATGTACCCACTTCTCTGATCAATGCATTCATTCCTGCCTATCATTCTTACAATACCCAGCCTGTAAGAAATGCAAATTGCTTATTCGTGAACTTGTGCCTGCGGAAATTGTTTCGCGAGCAGGGGAAGACTGGTTGGTTGGCTTGGCTAATGGTGCAGCCTGCGATGTGAGCCACGATAAATTTGTTGTCAATCCAATCCTATTGTAGGTCTTACGAATCACCACACCACTTATCGGTACCACATTTCAAAATAATAGATTCATATAATTTCCAAAGAAATACCGTCTCCCCCCGGATATAAGCGCCACCCTAGGATAAGCGCCTGGCGCTTCTAATTGGCATATGGCGCTTATATCCCCTCCTCGATTATAAGCGCACCCCTTGAAAAAACTTGTTTTATTATAAGCGCACGTAAACTTTAAAATTTGAAATGTGTTCAAAAAGCTGTAACGATTTTGACTTTAGCAGGCAGATATGTTGCAGATTCGGTTTCCTTCACATTCGGACCCTGCACTGGATGCGGGTCCAGTCAGCAGGACCTGTCAGGAGCTGGATGTGAGTCAGATTGGGTGTATCTCCCAGCGCGCGCGAGAATTTCACAGACGATCCCATGTAACTTCGACTCGATTGAAAAGGCAAGCACGAGACCTACAGTTTGGTGTTAAAAGATATAAAAAAATATGTATGTCATTTTATAAACGCCGGCGCTTATAAATTTACTCGATTATAAGCCCACCCCCATGAAAAAACCTGTTTTATTATTGCCCCCCATGGGGGTATATCCGGGGGGATACGGTACACCAGTATCTACCGGTAAGACCCATAGGAGACATAGTGCTCCTTGGGGTTTGTGGCAAGCACGATGCTATGACAGAGCAGGGGTGAACCAGAAAGAAGAGGGACAATGCCTCAGTTGGTTTCCCCTCACTCCCATCCTTGCCTATGAAGCATACAATGAGGGGCATATGGATGAACCATCATTGAACTGATGGGGAAGTAAGAGGGGACGGGGCAGCAGGAGATGCAGGGTGACAATGGCTGTGAACGAATATTGCAGGTGATGCAGCAGGGGGAAGGCAAGCGGCAGGAAGGAAGTAAAAGGGACACATGGATATTCTCTTGCGGGTGCCAAGTAGGTGACAAAGGCTACGAAATCATCTCGGGGATTATGCTGGGACAGAGCGAAGGTTGGCAAGGCGTGAAGGGCAGACAATTGGATGTGGTACGGGCAGGAAAGTGCTTCTTGGGAATAGTATAGTAGAAAGCGCAGGATAAAACGAGATATGGGATGAGGAATGGATACATAGCTGTCCCGTGGTATCTTCTTCTCTGGCTAGAACACACAAAGATAGCATCACATGGCTCACAAAGACACACTGCAAACACACAGTGTTGATTCCGGCCATTCCAGTCCAGCCAGGTTCGGCCCGAACCCCAACTACCAACTCCCCCAGCTTACAATCCCCACCAGCCCCACCTCCCTGCGTGCAATACCATCATGGGAAGGCGGCTGCTAGAAGCAGCTGCACTGAAATACGGAAAGGGAAAGATAAGGTGGGGCAGGGCAATGCAAGAAATCTATTTCTTACGAGGAAAGAGCGGAGGGGGTGGTGGAGAGGGGGGGGAGAGAATTGGGTGACAGCAGGCGGTCAAGGTGCAGGTGATGTGGGAGAGAGCGAGAGGTGGTGCCTGAGGGTGTGATGGCTATGGTGCTGCTGATTCGCTGGGATGGTGGGGAGCACATGGGAGGGTGATGGCGGGCAGAGGGGGAGCACCTGAGATGGGGACAGCTGGTTTATGTAGAGGGTGAATGGGGTCAATGAGGTTTACAAGGATGAATGACAACAAGGAGAAGGAAGATGAATGACAGTGCGCTGGGGTAGAGTGACGGGCACGACCGTTTGAATGAGCTGTATCTCATACGATTACACTATGACCGTCTGCTGACAGTAGAGGGGGACAAAGAGGGAGGAAATGGAGGATGGAGGAACGGGAGGGGGAGGAAAGAAAAGAAAGGGGATGGGAGGTCGAAAGGATTTGTACGACACCTGACATGATCGCTCAGGAGGGTGGTCAGCTGCTTGTGCCGATTCATCCTCATTGTGCCTTGTCAACCCATATCGAACCGGCCCGGCTTTGACTCGGGCCGAACGAACCGGCCCGGGTTGAACGGGTTTGACACACTTACCTGGGACGAACTCAACCAATTCTGCAGGTTTGACACACGAGTGGGACGAACCTGAGGCGGGTCATCACCATCAGTTTGCTGCAAAACTCTTGCAGAGACACACACAACCCGAGCCGTGCGAACACATTCTGAGAGGCAAAAGAGGGAGGTTAGAGCTCATTCTGGAGCTCCAACTTGAGCTTACTAGTTCTTCCTGCTCCCCTCCTCTGCTCTAGCACCTTCTCTAACACTTTAGCGTCCATTTCATTTCTTTTTTAACATGGCCGATAACACTTTCAGATTGGGCAGAACTCCAGCCGCCCCGATCCAAATCAAACCATGTGCCGACCACATTCAGCCGACCAGATTGGTCAGGCCAAGAGCCAGCCAGGATTGATAAATTCCGGGTCGGGTGGGTTCGGGTTCAGCCCCACTTGGTGTCTGACCATCCTCGTTTGACATAGGCAGGTGTGGGTAAGACCCTTTCTTACCAGTAAGGAGTACAAGAAGAGTCAAGACCACGAAATGGGCTGCTGGATTACGGGAGAAGAGAATTGAAATTGGGGAGGGGGGTTGGGTACGGGGAGAGGGGGGATGGAAGGAGGTTTGCAAAAATATTGCAAAACTCCGTGCAAGTCAATCTCTTCTGTAGCGACACCCCGGTCCCCCCAACCCTCTCCCGTTCCACCTCGCCCTGGCAACCCTGAATCCTTTGCAAGCGCGAAGTCACCACATCCTCCTCCACCCTCTCTCTCCGGCTCCACGTCGCCTCCCTGCGCATCCCACACCCTTCCTAATCCTTTCTGCCGCCACGGCAATTCCCCCAACAATGCCAAATGCAACAGCGAGAACCTCCAATTCCACCATTTGTTTCTTTAAAACTGGTGGAACTTGGATGGGGAAGGGGAGGATCAAGGTGGAACCATTCCACCTTCCAAGTGCTATTTTCAATCGTGAGGTTTACTCAGGCTTGGTCGAGTTGTTATTTGACACAAAAAAGGGGGGGGGAAGGATGTGGGGGCGAATGGGGGAGTTGGTGTGAGAGTTAGGGACGTCGGGGGAGGGAGGGTGAGTGGCGGAGAGCTGATGGCATCACACCCGGGAAAGCAGTGCACTTTCGTTCAAAAGGGGATCCCTCCAAAGTGTTCTAGGCACGAGGCTTATTGAAAGCCTCCATGCCTGACTGCCTCATTGAGAGCCACGCTGCCCTGTCTCTGGTCTGGAGCACCGCTCTGCTGCTGCTGCTCTCAAGGCGGACGTGCCCCATCACCACGCTTATGCTGTGACTGCACTCCACGCTGCTGCCCACCATGCCACCGTCACTGCCGGTGCTACCATGGTGCCAGTGCTGTGGGAAGCCCAGGGAGGAGGAGGCATCAGTGAGTGGGAATGGCATCAGCTGCCAGCAACAGTGCGCCATATCCATGCTCGCGCTCCTCCCGCCAATGCTGCCAGTGCTGCGTGTGCTGCCTGATCCTGTTGCTGGCCGCCGCACTCCCTCCATGCCTGACCCTGTCTCTCCGCCCCTGCTTTCCCACCTTCTCCGCTCATGTTCGAATCAATCAAATTGCCGCTCATGCTCCCCCCCATGTTCTGACCCAAGGTCCCCCAAACCCCCCTTTCCCCCCCCACCCCTTCCCATGCTCCCACCTGCGCTCCCGCCTGTATTTCCGCCTCTGCTCCCGCCCATGCTGCCCCCAAGTCGTCCCTTCGGGGCTGTTCAGCAGAGGAGCTGGTGCTGCTTTTGCGGGTGAGGCGTGCAGAGGAGGGGCTGGGGCGAAGGGCCTGGCACGGGCAGTGGAGGGAGAAAGAAGAAAGGCGAGGAGCCGGTGGGACGAATGTGAGAAGCAGACAAGTGGTGTCGGATGGCATGTCATGGGGGACAGTCACTGCGGGCACGCATACCGAAACATACCCAAGGAGCAAGGGGGAGGGCGGCCGCTCTGAAGCAACGTGCTGGACACAACCCCTGCCACCATCTGCGCCACCACAGCCGCCGCCACTATGCGTGTTCCCCTCGCCCAACACCCCTGCTACCCCCTCCCACGTTACCTGGCTATCGCTCTTCTCTCTTCCTACCCTTCCTTCACCCTGCCGCTCCACTGCGCCGGCCGCCCGTCTGCCCATGGTGCTTGCAAGCCCAGGCGAAACAGCCCCGAGAAGGAGCAGTCAGCGGGTGCGGGTGCTGCGAGACGGTGGCACGGATTGGCGTGGCAGGGAGAGCAAGGAGCACGACAGGCGGCTGAGATGACACCGAAGCGACAGGAATGGGGGGGAGGAGAGACACGGGGAAAGCGAGAGGAAGGGCAAGGAAGAGGGGAGGGAAGGAGACGGAAAACGAGATGAGGGTAGTGGGGGCGGGGGGAGGGGTAGGCGGGGAGCGGGGAGGTGAGGGGCGACGGAATACCGTGGCTTGCGCTGACGGAGTGAGACTGGTGCGGGGGAACGGACAGGGACAGGGACAGGGGCGCGGAATCCACCTTCCCCAACAGCGACTGCGTCAGCCGTGAATCCACCTCCGCCGCTTCCTCCCATGCCTCTCCACCGCCGCTCAGTCCCCGCAACACACCCTGCCTTTGCTCACGCTCCCCCGTACTCTGCCTCTGCTGCACCCTTGCTGCTACCACCATGGCTGCAGCTGCTGCTCCATTCCAGGCGGCGACCACCCTGCAGCTGCATTGGCCCCGACAGTGCGCCCACTGTTGACTGCCCAGCTCTGCCCCGCCTGTCTCACTATTCCACCCTCGCCAGCCTGCTCCGCACCCGAACCCTGGCAAACACATCCCGTGCCCTTCCCTCTTCCGCGTCCCTGCCACTTCGCCGGCATCACCGCACGCACTCTGCTATCGGCGCAGCCGCCAGTGGGCGCGCCCCTCGAGCAAGTTCCCTGCGAACGTCTACCTGTCTGCTAACACGCGTCCTTGGACAGGTTGTTCCCGCCCGCCACTACGAGAAGCGGCGCCATCGAGCGCTCCTCCCCACCCACAGTGCTGCAGCGGAATGGCGGGGCTCCGCCCCTCTCCTCCCACGGCACTGCAGCGGCATGGTGGGGCTCTGCGCGTGCCACTGCGCTTCTCCGCCCTGGCCCCCCCCCAAGCGCCCTGTCATCGCCTTCCCCCTGCCCCACCCTGTCACCGCCGACCTCACCTCTCATCACCACCGCCCGCTTCTCCTGCGCCCCTCGCACACGCTTGTAGGAAGCAATCTCCCACACTGACCCTGAGCAGCTTCCGCCTGCTTCTCTCCCCACTCATGGCGCCTGTCACTGGCTTTGCCGCATTGTATGCCCTTGTGTTGTTGGCTACAGTGGGCGAGCCTGTGTGATGGTGGCAGGCGGAAAACTACCACTGCGAGCTCCCCACCGCTGTCCCCCCTCCTCGGCCAGCACGACACGTGCAGCACCAGCAGCACCAGCGCCACCACTTCCGTCACCACTACTACACGGCAACCACCAGCAACACTACCACCAACATCGCCGCCAGCAGCTGCCGTGGTGTGAGACAGCGACAGGAAGAGGTCGCCGTGGAAGGCACTGAGACCTGCCGCCGCCGTTAACCCTTCTCACCTGCCGCTGCCATCGCGCAGGCCTGGTCTCACCCGTCCCCCTTCTCAGACTGCCCCCCTGCTGCTCACCCCCACACGTACGCCCATGGGGCTGATGGCGCACGGAGGCGGTCATGGGGAGCGCGCATTGCGCAGGCAGTAGCGCACGGATCAGCGCAGCCGGGGGGGGAGGGCTGGAGGGCTGCGCGGGGGCGACTCTGCTACCTGAGAATTCTAGCAACCAGCGGACTCAGCGGAAGATTTAGCGGTGGAGTCCGCAGGGTGGGATGCGGTGAAGGGGTTGGATGGCAGGTACACACGCGCGGCGACGAAGCGGTGCGGGCGCACTACAGACGCTGCTGCTGATGTGGCAATCGCGAGCGGCCAGATGATGATGTCCGATGATTCGCAGATGCGATAAGGGCGGGGACTATAACGGCGCATCAACGGAAGCATTGGCGAAAAGAGGAAAGTGAGGGTAGTTCCGACATGCAAGCCGAATAGAATGGAATGACAGGACCGGCCTTACCGCAGGCCTGTTGCTAGGGATTCGCAGATTGAATGTAACAAGCGTGGTGAGGCTATCACGAAGGGCGTGGACACTTAAACCTGAGCCTCGCAATGGGCGCCGAACACTTCAAACGATCCGAATGCGCAATAGTTGTGAGCTTCACTCGATAAAATAAGATGCCACTTATGAAGTGAGGCAGAGGCCAAACGACGCATGCTGTCGCTGAGCGACTCTTGGAGGGGGCAAACTGTAACTCGCCAATTTCGACATGGTGCATGGCGACGTGACTCTGCGAAATGGCGGCGTGACAAGGCGAAATGGCGATGTGACTAGGCAAATCGGAGGTGCGACTTGGCGAAATGGCGGCGCGACATGGCGAAACGGGGGCGTGACACAGCGCAATGGCCGTGACATCTCGAAAATGGTGGCGCGACAAGGCCAACGGCGGCGAAATGATGGCGATACATCAGCACACTCAGTCAGGCGACAGGAATGGACTAAACGGACCTTGGGAGGGGGTTAGTCACACTGCGGACTGCACGGAGAGCATAAGCGCGCCGAGCCTATAGCTCAAAGCACCCATCACGACGACTGAACCTGATAGAACCGACGGCGACGCACAGCGAGCAATTTTTAGGCGCCTACAAAATATACCGACAACGCACAGCAGAGCCTACTAAGCCTCGAACATGAAAAATGCTCGAACGCGAGTGGATGGATTCTAGCTAGCTTTCCGCTTGATCATCGGCTCCCAAAGATGATATAGGAGAGAGCGGGTTTTATTGTTATCTGGTTCGCCCTGGTGGAAGCAATCATTATAGGGTTACAGACTTCATTCATGTCGTTACTGCATGTGCGATGCTCCGAAAGTTGCGAGGTTCCGAACCGAGTTCACAAAAAGCTAGCCACAGGCTGACACAGCTGCTCCGGCTTTGCCGTGCCGAAGCAAAGGATGTTCGTTTGGTTTTGGTTTGGGACACTTAAACTTCGGTCTGTGCGTTCGGTTTGGTTTTTGATTCGGTGGCGACATTTTAGGGGTTACCGGATTCGCTTATCAGGCTCGGCGGATTTGACAAAACCGAAGCTGACTCGTGTCGCCTCCAAACCTTTCGATCGCGCCCTTCCCCGAACCTCGCCAACGGGAATTAGCTCAGCAAGTCTTTGTGTAGGTCCGAAAAAACATGGAACATAAAAAAAGAGACACGCCCTTGTAAATCACATCTCGTACTTTCCAGTTCTCTGTTCGTTCATTACAGCCTCCAACCCTAATTTTGAACCTTCAGTGCCTAGCTCACTTTCTGGAGTCCACCCCTCAAGCATGAAAAATCAATCGATGGCGCTTTCCAGTAGCTGTACATGGAACCGTACCGGCTTTTCCGTCCGCACCGCATTGGTGGAATCATCGCCAGCATCTTCGTCGCCATCACTCCAATCTTCCATGTGCACTCGCTCTATCTATAGCCATTAGTTCCATCACTAGCCCCTTCTATCCTTTAATAGCTACCAATAGACATAATTTTCAAGTAGCAGCTACAGCAAGGACCCGTCGTCGTGCCCATGTCGCCAGCTGCTGCTACGTTGCGGCATTTCAGACTCGAGTCCACCTGACACGATCATCGCTCTCCACGCACCGCGCACTCCCGCCTTGCTCGGTGTGCAGCTCCCGCCGCTGCTGCTGCAAATGCTGCTGCGCACTCCCGCCTCGCGCCGAGACGGCGCGCAGCTGCTGCTGCTGCTGCTGCTGCTGCGGCTGGTGATGCTTGTGCGATGCCGCACAAGTGATGCAGCCTTCCTTCGGCGGTCCCTGTTGCCCGCTCAGGCAAATCGCGACACCCATTCGCGGGATTTCTGAAATAGGATGGCGACTCGGCCGCATCAGGCGGTGCAGCGAGGCTGCCTCGGTCTGTTTCAGGCTTTCCTCTGAGGCGTCGAAGATATCGTGGATTTCGTGGGGAGGGTTGCAAGGACGGAGTAATGCTGATGATAAGCTGCAGCTCTGTGTTTCGCTGTATTCCCCGCATGGCGTCGCAGCAGCTAGACGTTTTGTTCGGTGCTTAGATTAAGGATATTTACCACTGACGTGACAGACATGGGTTATTGGACATTTTATGATGCATGAAGCAAAAGGCGAAGGGATGCCGGTGCGGGGAAGATCGGACAGATTCAGGAGGTACAGTTGTCGCATGCGACATGGCACATGTTGTTGAGGCGTCATTCTTCCATCCACGTGTTACAGATACTGTCGCTGCGATTGGTTCTCTGGGATCCTCTGTCCCTATTTAATGCTCCACCTTGTCTCTCCCATTCTGCTTCTCCCCCCTTCCCCCCCGTCACCCTCTCCCCTTTTTTCCGCTCATCTTGTCCTCAATCCCCGCTTCTCTGCTCCCCCACAGGGTCAAGATAGTTGTGGTCGAAATCACACACGGGGAAGTACAATTCAGATCCCGAGCTTCACATGGCAGCTCGCCAACTTCTCTTGTGGCTTCGGATGGACTTGTATGACAAAGGTGAGAGTCGGTGACGGGCCTGCTGGGTAGGGGCGTGTGTGGATGTCAATTGAGGAAGCGGTGAAAAGGGGGGGAGGAGTGGGAAGAAGGGGCGTGGAGGAAGGGGGGAGAAGGGACGGAAAGGGGGGGGGGAGGGGAGAGTGGGGGGGGAGGGGGTGCTTCCAGGGCTGGCAGAGGCCATAGAAGACGCCTGGGGGCTTGTTTGGTGGCAGCAGTTGACAAGCTAGAAATCGCCAAGGTTAGAAACATGTAGGGGCTTGGTTGGAAGTCGGTGCGCAGCGGGGGAGATGTGTGTAGGAACCACTCGGGTCACTCGTGGGTGGCGGTGGGAAGGGGGCAGTTGAATAGCTATCTCGGCGAGAGTTGCTGAGAGTCAGTGAAGAGTTGGCGAGGAGTCATTGTGAGTGGCTTTGGGATGGCTTTGATGTGAGTGGAGGGAGTTGATGGGCAGCATAGGTGAGCTGAAAGGATGGTTGCAGCCAAGAGTGAATCTCATCCCCCCATCCCCCCTGCAAAAACCTCCTCTCCTTTTAAATTTCCAATTACGTCTTCCCAACCAACTCCCT